AAAAAAAAAAAAAAATTAAAAAAAAAAAGACTATTGAACTAAAAACAGTCAACTGTTTACGTATAATGTTAAATTCAGGAGTTCAGTGTTTTATTAATATATCCTGTTTTGAAACCTCTTGTTCAAAAACAAAATGTTTTGAGCAATCAACCAAAATTGTTCATTTTCTTTTCCTGTAGATGTTCTGACAGATTTGCAGGGCTCGCAGCTCACTGTGCTAGTATGTAAAAAGGTGTTGTTTACACAAGGCAAAGAGAAAACATGATATTCAGACACTTGCCAAATAGAATAATTATAGCACAAATACTGTAAAGGTGCCTGGCACCACAACCTGAGAAAGTGTTAAAAAAAAGAAAAAAAGTGTTACAAGGTTTAAAAAAAAAACATCTTTGCTAATTTTTAGTCCTGTTGAACATTCATGGAATTGTTAATATGACTTATATAGACCCACACAGGTTTTATTTTTGTGTCTTTAAAATAAAAGTCCAAAATATTTAAATTTTATGGTCAAATATGCAGTCAACAGCTGCTACTTTTTTCTTTATATATTAAATTTCTCATATGTCTTTTATTGTTCTGATAAACCTAAGCTTGTGTGACCTCCAGTGCATATTAGACCATTCACTGTATGAAAGAAAACATGTTGAATAAATTTGTGAGTTTTTAATAAAAATAGAAAATCTGATGTTTAGATATTTGGTGTGTTATTTGATGTTTTAACAAGTAGAGGTGAGGCCTGATGGGGAGCTGAATGACACCTCAGAAGCCAGAGGGAAGAGAAGCAGGACTGGGCTATGTTTTTACCTTGGCTATGGCTGAATCCCCTTGCTAATGCCAGCCAAGCTTTTCTCCGTGGCTTCCCGCTGTTATTAACTACCGATTTGCATTCTGTGGGTTTAACTGATACAGTTGAAGAGCTGTTTGCTGATAAATTAATATAGAATTTGAAATAGAAATCAAATCCATGGCTAAAAATGAGTGGTCCGGGTATGATTAGGCATGAGAGCCCATGCACTGTCTCTATCCCCCATTCTGCACGTGCAAAACTGGACTTGTGATAGTCAGTTACTTGTAAATATATAGTTAGAGGTGGTCCTTTTCAGTTTCAATTCACTTCCCATAGATAATCCTGCTCTCTAATTTGGTGGTTTAAAAGATAACGTAAAATGAATGTAGGGTACAGCTAGAAATGAAATACTTTAATCCCTTTCAGAGAACTGATATGAAGTAGTTGTTTTATAGTATTTGTTACATTTGAAGTTTTCTAGAAGGAAAACTATTTCATCTGGCACAAGATACATATTACCTTTCTCTGAAAGATGAGCAAAAATAACCAATAAAGAAATCAAATTTTACCTGGGAGTTGCCAATAGGTTCTGAAAAGTACTTCAATCCCTCCCAAGCCTTCATTAAACATGGAAGGAATTTAAATATTTATCTACTATGAAATACGTGTGTGTTTTTAATATTAGATGCTATTTGAGTTCCAGAATTTCATTTCTATATCACCTAGATTTCAGTCTGGATTATTTATTTCGTTTTAAAAATCAAAGGTTTTACGTTAAATGGCACATAATTTCCGTTGTCATTTTCATATTTTGTTAAAACACAACCAAGTGTATCTTTCCTGCAGAGAAGCCTTTAAAATAAGCAATATTTTACTGCATCCATATGACGGCTTATCTAATGGGCGGACTGTCAGCAAGGAACCTGACAGTATTCTTTCAAAAATCCAAATTTATGAAATACGGGGAGACTTTTGAAACTCCTAGCCTCTGCATGCAGCACATTTCTTTATCTGCTTTGTATCCAATCACTGGATCGGCTGTTTTTGCCCTTTTAGCATTTATATACATTAAATCACAGCCAACTTATTCATTATGGCCACCCCCTTTAAAGACATTCATTTAACTGAACGTACGCTCATGAGAAGCTGCATTCTCCTATCAAGGCTGCTGAATTATTTAGCAGCTTTATTGTGGAATCGGGTACTTGTTAAGAAGCGTTTTGAGTTGGGCGCTCAGTGTGGACTCATTTCCTCTCTCTCACTCGGTGGCAGCAGGGCAGTCTTTCCCTCTTGGCTCTGGATACTGAACCCTAATAAGTACCTGAAAAGGTGGCAAAGCTTAGTAGTCAAATTTGGAGCCACCTGAGAGGAGGAGGTCTAGAGATATCAGGGACTATTCTCCTTCCCATCAGAGCAGCGATGCCCACCTCTGGCCCTAAGCTGCAGAGAAGCGCGGCACCGCTCCCAGGCAGCCCAGCTGGGGGCTCCCGGGAGAGGCTCAAGGGCCACAGAGGAGCAACAAGGTGGTCCCCTCCCTTCTAGGAGGGCAATCTCCTCTCTAGTTGGGCTTGGCAGTTTGCTTTCTCCCTGCAGCCATCTTAAAGCTGCCACCTCTGTGCCTCTGGCCATCTGCCCTCAGGGCTCCAGCCTCAGGAAGCTACCATCTGCCCTGGGCTATGGAGCCGAAGCTCACCCACCAACTTCTCCAGGCTGGAGGAGACTGGGGACTGCTTTAGGGCTGTACAAAGTGAAGGGAAACTATTCCTGGAGACCAGGACAGGCATTGGTAGGGAACTGGGACCTGGGGATTGATGGCATCTGAGAAGAGAGGCAGGTAAGAACCTGGTTTCCCTAAACTCTTGAAACTCCTGGTCATAGGAATTGTTGATTGGGACAGTGGTGGGGGGCAATCCAATGTCACTCCTGCCCATCTTCTGCTATCCCTACATCTCTCTGTCACTTTGCAGCCCTTAGGCAGCAGCACTGTGAATGGGGAGACCCTCTGACTGCCTCTGGAGAAGACTGTTCTTTGGGGAGAGTGCTCCCAGTCATTCCCATCCTTCTGATCTTCACATCAGCTCTCACGCCCAGAGCAGTTAGAGGCTTAAGTGTCTTCCAGGAGGCATAGTCTTTGAAGTATCCTCTCTTGTAGTCCACCCTCCATCTCCAGATCCGTTCCCATCAGGAAAATCCCTCCTCATTTCTCTAGATACTGGAATGCAGGCAGGGAGGGCCCCCTAGAGAGAACGTTCAGGAGGATGCTCTCCAGCCCCAGGTCTCAACGTCTCTCGGCTGCATCTTAAGTCCTAGAATTCTTTCCTCTTTCTTTCCCTCTCTCCCCTCAGTATGGGGTAAGAAAGCAGAAGCCTTTGGGGGGCCCTGGGATGTGTGTGACTGGAGTAGCGTAGTCTTGATTCCTTCCTCCAAAGGCTTTCCAAGTCAGAGGAGACCAGGACAGTGAAGGGAGAGTATAGATAAGCAGGACTAGGGCGTTTTCTGCCCAGAGCCAGCCACCAGTGTGTCTTGTTTGCACGACAGCTTAGAGGTGGTCTCTGACCTGTCTTGTTTCCCCTTCCCCCTTCTCTCCCTTTTCTTTACCTTGAAGGCAAGGATTCTAAGCACTATTGTTCAAAATAGGAACAGAAGAGGATTGGGGGAAGTAGCTTCCTAAATGTGGAGAGATACATTTTTGTCTTTTGAAGCCCAGGGCAATGGCTCCCTGTTGCAGCCTGAGGGGCATGCTTTCGCTTTGGAGGCTCCAGACAGCAGGCACCAGGCTGCAATTACGGAGAATATGTTAACAAAATAAGGTGGGGGAGGAGCTGTTTTCTAGCCTGAATTTTCTTGCTGCTGGTAAAAAGCAGTTTGCTTTTGCCTGAGTCCCCTACCTAGGTGCTCCTGTCCTAGGTTGGCATTCTTTCCTTTCAAGTCTGAAGGAATCTGCCCTAAGACTGGTTCTCCTTCCCCTCTGCAGCCACCTGGGAAGGGGACATGAAACAAGCCACACTAAAGGGATGGGTCTCTCATTGCTCTTGACCTTGAGGGCATATTAAGACTGTGAAAGTCAGGGACCCTCACTTCCCTTAAATTCCACAGGAAACACTGGTGAGCTGAGGGTTCCCAGGCTGTCAGCTGTGGGATCCAACTGCTCTGGCACCCTTAACATCTCTTTTCTTGACTCTTTTGATGCAGTTTCTGTTTGAGGGGGGTTGTTCAAGGTTTCTACAGGTGACCTCAAACAGATACTGGAAGGAACAGACCACTTTGTACTCACCCTTATCCCTTATTGCCAGTTCTGTTTACAAGTTTGTCTGCCCCCCCCCCCACCGCCCCCCTTAGTGGGGGGCTGATCACTGTCAGGAGAGAATTTAACTTGGTCATCTTTGTATCTCATCTAGCAGTGCCTGCCACACAGCGGGCAGTTAGGGAATGCTTCATGAAGAAAGAGAATATAAAGGGATAGTATCTTTCCGTGTGGCTGGGTGTAATTAAATTGATCCTATTAAGTCTCTATATTTTGAGTCTACCTGTGCCTCTCATACAGTAGACATGAATTTTTCTGCATTTGTGCACCAGTTTCAAGTGTCTGAGTATATCCTCACCTTTGAACAGATATCAATAATGAGGGTATGCAATAGAGTAATCGCCACTATCACCCCCCTTTTCCCTAAGACAAGGCTACTTGGAGAAACTACAGAACGATCTTTATTTAGGCACAACCATAGCTATTTCTAATTATTCCTGTGAATAAGGACGCCAACAGTCCGCCGTACACTTACACATGCACATCGCTGACGTAGGATTCTTAAATCCCGACCACCGCAGGGTCAGAGGCGTGTGCCCGGCCCCAGACTCCTCCAGACTGTTAAACTGCTAAATGTCAAACCTATTTTGGTCCCAGTGCCCGAAAGCGCACCTGAGGCTGAAAGTGCTTACCCTTTATTTACTCCCTCCTCTTTTCATAACAGCCACCATAGATAGGCCATGGCTACACCACACTTTATTTCTAAGCGAATCTCGGACAAATCTTGAAGCATATTTTATACAAGGGGACAAGGGTCGCGCGCAAAGCAACCTCGGTTCAGCGCCAACGGCGGCCACGTGCCCTGGCGCGCTCCCGGACCACCTCACACACCCCCTCGGCGCACGCGCACGCGCGCCGGGATGGCGACAATCCCTTCAGCCTTCCGCGCGCTTCCGCCTTCTTCCTAGCAACGCCTGTAGTGACGCGCAGGCCCCGCCCCCTCGCGCGCGCCTCCCGGAAGTGGCCGGCCCCGAGCGAGAGCGGGGTTGTCTGCGCTCCCTGGCTGTTCTGGGGAGTAGTCTCTGGGCAACAGGGCCCGGCGGGGAGAGAGCGTCCGGGCCGGGGCCAGGGCTGGGGCTGCACGTTGACGGGCACGGCGCAGAGCGAGACCTGGTGACGATGGCGGGGCCGCAGTCCCTGGCGCTGCAGCTGGAACAATTGTTGAACCCGCGCCCGCGCGAGGCGGATCCTGAGGCCGACCCGGAGGAGGGTGAGGCCTGACTGGGGAAAAGCCACGTGCGGAGCGGTGGGTCCAGCCTCGGGCAGACCCGGGCGGCGCGAGAGAGGCCGGCAGCCAGGCCTCGCCGCCTGGCCTACTCGGCTCATCCTGGCGTAGAGGAAAACGGCCTCCCGGGAGGGTTGGCCGGGCTCAGGAGGAGGACTTCGGCTTCCTTCTGAGCCGCACTCCAGACTTGGTGCTCGGTGGCTGGAGCATCCCGGGGACTTGGAGGGCTGTAGCAGGGAACAGGGGGTCTGGTAGTTGGTTGGAAGTTATCTTTTCAGGATGCCCTTACCGGTATTAAGTTAGAAATGAGAAGGAAGTCTCAGCGTTTTTTAAGTCGGCCTAACCCTAGGAACTTACTAGGAGATTGAAGGAAGAAGTGGGATTCCATGGGGCTGTTTAAGCCTCCCTAGGCCTCAAGACATTTGCTCAGGGGCTGACGAATGGGACGGCTGTTCTGTAAGCTGATGTTCAAGGTCTAGTTGGGAGTAATCCTGCTTTAGACTTGAATCAGAGAAGTGTGAGGAAGGAAGAATAAGGAAGGATAAATGTGAGTGCTGGACCGTGTTTTAGGAATATCAGTTGAAGAAGTTGGGGCTGTTGAGCCAGAATAAGCAGACTCCCTTAGGGATGGGATGGAGTGAGGATAGATGGCCGACTTAAATATTTGAGCGACTGTCACAAATGGAAGAGGAGTTAGGCTAGTTTTTATAATCCAAGGCATAGAAATATGTCCAACTAGTAGGCGCAGAGGTCAACTTTCTGTTCAAGAACAGCAGTAAGACTGTGGTCTATCTTGAGAGGTAATGAGTTTCCTGTTCCTGGAAGTTGGTGGGGATTTTGTAGAGTGTGAGTTGAAAGGGTTGAACAGGGTTACTCTTAAAGTTCCTTCTAACCTGGAGATTCTGATTACTCTCCCCCCACCCCCTCCCCACAGCCACTGCTGCCAGAGTGATTGACAGGTTTGATGAAGGGGAAGATGGGGAAGGTGATTTTCTGGCAGTGGGTAGCATTAGAAAATTGGCATCAGCCTCCCTCTTGGACACGGACAAAAGGTATTCTGGCAAGGCTACCTCTAGAAAAGCTTGGAAGGAAGACCCCTGGGAGCAGACACTGCCAGGTTCATCTGGTGAGTAGACATATTTGCACGTTGCTTTCTCTTTCTTTCCTAATATTTTAGGGTTAAAGTTGTGGGGTTTTGTCTTTGTTTTTGTTTTGGATGATTAGTCTGTGTGTGTGCCCCCACTTACTGTCTTAGGAGAGACCGTGGATTTGGCATTAGAAAGGACCTTAAGAGGTAGTTAATTTCAGTTCCTAAGGATTCTAAAGCTCAAAGCTATTAAGTTTATATAATCCTTATGTTTAAGTTAATGGTTCACCGTAAAATGGAAAGAAAAGATAATGGATATTGGACAGGGCTATGTGTTGAGAAAGAATTGCGTCTGATGAGCATGCTACTCATGGATTTTGACCCTTTTCCTTTGGTTTTTCGAGTCTTGCATTGGGTCACTGTATAATTCAATACTAGTTTGTGAAACTCATTTTTTGCCATTGTAAAAATAATATAATCCTTCCCTCTCCCCTGCAAGGGCCTTAGGAGGATGTGAGGACATGAGCGTATAGTTTTATTTTTTATTATTTCTTTTTATGAAATTTTTAAAATGTAATCTCTACATCCAACATGAGACTTGAACTCTCAACCCCAAGATTAAGAGTTGCATGCTCTTCTAACTGAGCCAGCCAGGTGCCCCATCAGCTTATAGTTTTAAAGCATTAGCATTGTAAGTTTCTCAATGGAAGAAGGGGCTGGATATGGTGGTTACTTAGTGGATGCCATTTTTCCCCCCCTTTAGAGAGGTTAGAGGTGCCAGGCTGAGAATGCACAGATGATATAAAAGAAAGTATCATTCAGGTCATGATATCCATGATTAGTTGGATAATGGATGATTACCCGTTATGGTTCTGGGGCTCCTGGTAAGCTCATTTCACATTCTTTGCCTAGAGACTGATAGAGGGGCCAATTGTGAGACAAATGTTATAATACTTATTGGGCTTCACCATGTGTCAGGCATTGTGGTAGCTCTTTAAGTTCTAAGAGACTAGAACACAGTTTTCAAAAGATGTTGTTACTGTTACCATTACATGTATCATCTCATTTGATACTCTCAATAACTTATGAAGTTGCTAGTATTTGTCCCCATTTTATTTATTTTTTTTAAGTTTGTTTTTGAGAGAGTGGGGGGCACAAGTTGAGAGGGGCAGAGAGAGTGGGAGACACAGAATGTGATGCAGCCTCCAGGCTCAGAGCTGTCAGCACAGAGCCCGATGCAAGGCTTGAACTCAACGAATCATGAGATCATGACCTGAGCTGAGGTCGGACGCTTAACCGACTGAGCCACCTAGGCGCCCTGTATCCCCATTTTAAAGGTAAGGAAATTGAGGGACAGATTGGTTGTGTAACTTGCTCAAGGTCATAGAGCTAGTAAGCGGAAGAGCCAGGACTCACATAAGGTAGTCTGACTCCAAGTCTGACTCTTAACTGCTACTCTGTGAATATTCCTTAATCTGAGAAATGGCATACATTTAAAGAATTTAAAGGATTAATTTCTTTTTTTTTTTATTTTATTTTTTTAAATGTTTAATTTTTGAGAGAGAGACAGAGTACGAGCAGGGAAGGGGCAGAGAGAGAGAGAGTGAGACACAGAATCTGAAGCAGGCTCCCAACTCTGAGCTGTCAGCACAGAGCCCAATGTGGGGCTCAAACCCACAGACCGTGAGGTCATGACCTGAGCCGAAGTCAGAGCCACCCAGGTGCCCCTATATGTAGTTTTTTTTAAAGAAGTACTGAAGACCTATCACATCAGCTGTTACTTATGCTTAATGAATAAAATTATAGTATCTCCTGTACATGAAGCTATTCCTTATCCTTCTAAGCATGTCAGTTGGATCCTCTTCCATACACTGCGTACTAATGGCACTAGGATTTTTTTTTTAATTTTTATTTAAATTCCATTTAGTTAGGTGATGAATGACTAAATTATATTCCTGAAATAATCATTACACTATATATTAACTAACTTGGATTAAAATGAAATAAAATAAAATATGCGCTGAAAAAAGACTTTTTAAATCAAAAATAAATTCCATTTAGTTAACAGATAGTGTGATATTAGTTTCAGGTACACAATTTAGTGACTCAAGACATGTAACACCCGGTGCTCATCACAAGTCCACTCCTTAATCCCCATCATCTGTTTTACCCATCCCCTCACTCACCTCCAATACACTGTGTACGGATGATGCTGTAATGATAATAGTGATATGAATATTGTCAAACATATCTACCACTCTTACCAGACTGTGACACCCCACAGGTGTTACGTTGTATTTGTCATTCCTTAGCTTTTATGTACACCTGGCTGATAATAGGTGCTTAAGTAAGTAATAAATAGGGTGCACTGGTGTGAGAGAGATTGTACATTGGGGTTAGTTAATGATAAATTATATTTCAGATATAGGTTTGGGAAAACTGTTACTTCCCTTATTTGAAATCTTACCATTCTTCAAGGTCCAGACCTTGCCCCACAGTTAAAATTTCTCCCTCCTCTGGGTTATCAAAACTTTGTCAGTTCTTGTCTGTATTTGATGGGTCTGTCTTTCCCACTAGAACCTTTTGTTAGGGTAGGACCTACGTTTTGTTCATCTTTGCTTTTCCCTTAGCCTCTTATAGGTAGTAGATGTATAATATATATTTGAATTGAGTACAACCATACATTTTATTTTTTTTTGATGGATGCTGCAGCCCTTTACTTGAAATGAAAGGTGTGGCCTAATATTTGTCTCAAAGTAACATCTGTTTGTTTTTTTTTTCTTCTTCTTTCTTCTCTTGTTCAGACAAGGAAATAATATCTGATGAGGATGAGTCTGGAGATGGAGGTTCAGAGGGGCTGGGTCTGGAGGGATCTGATGAGGATGCCATGAGTGCTGCTGAGGAAGAGGAGTGTGGTGATGACAAGGACAGTAGTCTGGCCTGGAAGAAGAGGATCAAAAGCTGCTCTGAGAGCACACCGGGTTTTAGTGTCCAGAGCATCAGTGACTTTGAAAAATTCACCAAGGGAATGGATGACCTTGGTAGCAGCGAGGAGGAGGAAGACGAAGAGGAGGAGAGTGGTATGGAAGAAGGGGACGGGGAGGAAGACTCCACAAATGAGAGAGAGGAAGACAGGGCTGAAGGCAGGAATAGTGAAGATGACGGAGTAGTGATGACCTTCTCCAGTGTCAGAGTTTCCGAGGAAGTGGAGAAAGGAAGAGCTGTGAAGAACCAGATAGGTTTGTACATGGTTTGCTGGTGGCTTATTTTTCACAGTGTCTGCATTTGATCTCCTGTTTGTGTTTTTGTTTGTTTTGGCTCTTCCTTTTCTCTTGTGTCCTTCCAATTAATTTGTCCCCCACCTACCTAGGGGCCTAAAGCCCCATTCTTCTGTGCGTAGCCAGCCTTTTCTACATTGAGCTGCTTAGCTGGTTCTGTTCTCGTACTTTGGCGGCTGTGGAATACTGAGGGGAAAACAGTTTTCTCCTCTCTTTGGGCTTCAGCCTACCCCTCTCTCTTGTAGCAAATATTTGCTTCCAAGATACTGAGTTTTTTTCCTGTAACGGAGGGTATTTTCATGGCATGAAGCTGTGATAAAGCCGTGCTTTGCAGAGACTGGTGTGATTTCTTGTCTCTCCCTATCTGTCCCACTGGGAAGATTTTTGTAATGAATGATATTCTTTTCTCTTTCTCAGCTCTGTGGGACCAGCTCTTGGAAGGAAGGATCAAGCTTCAAAAAGCTCTGTTGACTACCAATCAGCTTCCTCAACCAGATGTTTTCCCTATTTTCAGGGACAAAGGTGGCCCAGAATTTGCCAGCGCCCTAAAAAATAGTAAGAATACTTATGCCATATGGAGATACTTTAGAACCACTGGGATACATTGGGATACACTGGGACTGTATTTGCAGCACCACAGAATTGAAGAAGAGAGTATTTGGTTTTAGTGATAATATAGTACAGAGTAGTTTTTTAACTTTTTTTTTTTTTTT